GTCCTTGTGGTATGATTGTGGATCCTTTGAGTATATACAAGAGTGGGATTGCTGGGTCTTGAGTTATTGATTTGCAGTTATATGACATACCACTGATTTCCAAAGTGACTATACAAGTTTGCACTCCTGCCAGCAATAAAGGAATGTTGCCTTTACTCAACATCCTCTCCACGATAAGTTGTCATTAGTGTTTTTTATTTTATCCATTCTGAAAGGTGTAAGATGGTGTCTCAGATTTGTTTTGATTTACATTTCTCTGATGGCTATGGATGTTGGACAGTTCACTAAGTATCTTTTTACCCATTTGAGATTATTCTGTTGAGAGTTTTTGTTTCTATCTGTATCTCAATTTTTAATTAGATTATTCATTATTTTGATGTCCAGTTTCTTGAGTTCTTTATATATTTTGGAGATCAGCCCTCCATCAGATGTGGAGTTGGTAAAGATCTTTCCCCATTCTGTAGGCTGTTGTTTTGTGTTGTAGACTGTGTCTTTTGCCTTACAGAAGCTTCTCAGTTTCAGGGGTTCCCATTTATTAATTGTTGTTCTCAGTGTCTGTGCTACTAGTGATATATTCAGGAAGTGATCCTTGTGCCAATGTGCCACTTTCTCATCTTTGAGGTTCAGTATGGCTGGATTTATATTGAGGCCTTTGATCCATTTGGACTTGAGATTTATTCATGGTGATAACCATGCATGTATTTTCATTGTTCTACACTCTGTTATACCAGCATTATTTGTGGAAGATGCTTTCTTTTTTCTATTGTATACTTTTAGATTCTTTGTCAAAAATCTTGTGTTCATAGGTATGTGGGTTCATAGATCCCTTTGGTTCACCTGTCTATTTTTGTGCCACTACCAAGCTGTTTTGATTAGTGTAGATCTATAGTAGAGCTTGAATTCATGGATGGTGATCTCTCTGGAAATTCCTTTATAGTATCAGATTTGTTTGGCTGTCCTGGGTTTTTTTCCCTATGAAGTTAAGTATTGTTCTTTCAAGGTCTGTGATGCATTGTGCTGTGATTTTGATGGCAATTGCATTGAATCTGTACATTGCTTTTGGTTAGATTGCCATTTTTACTATGTTGATTCTACATATCCAAGCAAAAGACACCTTTCCATTTTCTGATACTTTCTTCAATTTCTGTCTTCAGAGACTTAAAGTCATACAGATCTTTCATTTGTTTGGTTAGAGTTACTCCAATGTATTTTATGCTGTTTATTGCTATTGTGAAGGATGATGTTTCTCTCATTTCTTTCTCAGCCCATTTATCATCTGTATAGGAGGGCTTCTAATTTCTTTGGGTTAGTCTTGTATCCTGCCACATTACTGAAGGTGTTTATCAACTGTAGGAATTCCCTGGTAGAATTTTTTTTAAAATCACTTATGTATACTGTCACAATACCTGCAAATAGCAGAATTTTAACTTCTTCCTTTCCAATTTGTATCCCTTTGGTCCCCTTTTGATATCTTATTACTCTAGCTAGAACTTCAAGTACTATATTAAACTATAAAATACTTAAGTGGTATAGGTCTATTCAAATTTTCATCTGGTTGTTTTTTTTTCTGCTTCATCTGCACTAGGTTATTCAGGTCTTGCTGCTATAGAACCACTACTTTCTGGTTTGGTCATATTGCTCTTTATGCTGTTGACTTTTTCTTCTTCTTTTTCTTTTTCTTTTTCATCTTCTTCTTCTTTTCTTCTTCTTCTTCTTCATCATCATCATCATCATCATCATCATCTTCATCTTATTTTTGGCAGAAGTAATTTATTCCACACTTGTACTGTGAATTTTTGACATTATTCACTTTAACCATTTTCTTTTTTATTTATTATTTTTTACATTCCAGTCCCAGTTCCACATACCTCCTCTCCTCCTATCCCTCCAACACCCACCACACCTCCCATCTGCTCCTTGGGGAGGGTTAGGTCTCTCCTAAGCACCCTAGTCAGTCTACTAAGTCTGTCCCACTAAGTCTGTTTGTGCACTAGAGTAAGATCTTGGGTCCACTGCCAGTGGCTTTATATATTGCCCCAGCTGCACTATTGTCACCAATATTATAGGAGTCTAGTTTGGTCTTATACAGGTTCCCCTTTTGTTAGACTGGAGTCAATGATCTCACGTTGACTCCTAGACATCAAAATACCAAATAATCCCATTAAAAATGGGGTACAGATCTAACCAGAGAATTATCAACATAAAAGTCTCAAATGGTGGAAAGACACTTCAGGGACTGCTCAACATCCTTAGCCATCAGGAAGATGCAAATCAAAACAACTCTCAGATACCATCTTACATGGATCATAATAATAGCTAAGATCAAAAACACTAATGACAGCTTATGTTCAAGAGGATGTTAAGAAAGGGAAATAATCTTCCATTGCTGGTAGGAGTGCAAACTTGTACCACCACTGTGGAAATCAGTATGGAGATTTCTCAGAAAATTAGGAATCAACCTACCTCAAGACCCTGCCTGAAATACCACTTTTTGGTATATAGCCAAAGGAAGCACATTACACAACAAGTACATTTGCTCAACTCAACTGTGTTAATAACAAAGTTGTTCACAATAGCCAGAACTTGGAAACAACCTAGATGTCCCTCAACTGAAGAATGGATAAATAAAATGTGATACATTTACACAATGGAATACTACTCGGTGATAACAAACAATGATATCCTAAATTTGCAGGCAAAATTGTAAGGTGAGTTTTCTGGCACAACAGGTCCCACCATCACTTCAGCCCCAAAATGAACACACAGATGCTATATTAACTATGAAACCATTGTCCAGTGAGTAGTGTTTCTAGTTGGCTAATTCTGTCTTAATTGTTAACCCATTTCTATCAATCTATGTATTGCCATGAGGCTGTGGCTTATCAGGTTATGCCCAGCATGGTGTTACTCCTTTGACAGCCTACACATTGGGACAGAATTAGAAAAAAACATCCTGAGTGAGATAACCCAGACCCAGAAAGACAAATATAGTTTGTACTCACTTATAAGTGGATATCAGACATGAAAAAAGATACCCAGCCTACAATCCACAACCCCAGAGAAGCTAGAATCCTCTTCCAGAAATGGATGGAAGCATATGCATAAATCTACAATTAACCATTGGGCCAAATTCCTGGAGTACAATCAATGTTGAAGGTATTCTTACACTGACATCTATCCATCGCTTTAGTACAGATGGAATCTGTGCTTCAGGGTGGCCCTCTTCTCCAATTGGTGCAGGTGGGGCCTGTGGCTTATGTGACTGCTCCTCCTCCAGGAGCAGTTGGACCTGTGGCTTAGTTGATCGCTTCTCCAGGTGCAGGTGGGACCAAGGCTCCAGTGGTCAATGATGTAGTGGGGAATTATTGGGGGTGTAGGGAAGTTGCTGCTAGGTCTCTTGGAGTTGGTTGGTTGGGGGTAGAATTCTGGAAGTCCCACTGGGAGCTAGGGCCTAGAGAGTAAGGTTGTCCAGCTGGGATCTCAGATACTCATCTCCTCCATGTACAGCCCTAGTCACTTCTGTAGACCTGGTGATACATCTTCACCACATCAAGCCCTACCTACACCTGCACTAAGAACCCTTGGTTTAGACCAAGAAAGTGATATATCAAGGAAGATGTAGCCTTGCAGACAAGGGCCAGGATATTGCTTAATCTGAGGTGTTGGGGGAATGGGTCTTCCCATGTCCTAAGGACAGCAGGGTACATGCTTGTGTTGGTGCATTGAGTTCAGCCACTCAGAGAAGCTTTAGCATTTTTACACTTGCCAACTTAAATGCTGTGTGAGGTTGTATTTCACTGTGTAGCTAGAGGGATTTTCCAGGATCTCATAACACTCCTCTCTCTCCCCTACCCCCCAAGGGTGTAGGTTTTAGAGGCATATACCAGCACTGCATCCAGATACATTTATTTTGTCAGCACTTGGTCTTACTCTATGTTGCTAAGGCTAGCCTTGATTTTTCTGTGAACTACTTGCTTTTCTCCCAATTGTTGGAATTCTAGCTGGTGAGTTTTCTTTTTCTTTCCTTCTTTTCTTTCCTTTCTACCTTTTTTTTTTTTTTTTTTTGCAACAGAATTTCATTGTGTAACCAACTTATGTGTTTCTAAAGGGAACTCTATCACAAGTATGCCTGTGTGTAAAAAGTGTATGACTAGCATCACTTATTTTCTCTAAAAGCTTTATGATTGATATTTTCCTCAGTGTCAGTGAGGAAATCATTTCCATTAAATAGGTCTAGTTTGTTATGGTTCTTTTTTAAGAAAACATCTGGAAAGTTGAACCCCCAGAAGGTATGAAAGTGTCTTTGAGTCACATCACAAGTGTAGGCTCTGTCTCCCATCTACTTCCAATTATCCAAACTTGGGAGTCAGGTCCTATGGTGTATAGGTAACAGATTTGTTAATTTTGCATGTTTTCATCAGATGGTATACATTGAGTTTATCTTTTTATCCCCATCAATCAGAGATTCAGAAAGGTATTTGAGCTGTGGTATTTGGCCATGCAGCTCTTGTGTCTTGACAGCTAGGACCAATCTCACCATGGTAACAATGAGATACATTTGGCAGAGTTGACTTCTGTTAATGAAGATAAACTTTAGTTTGGTGTCATGAACAACCAACTTTAAAAATATGATTAACCTTAATATTCTAAGCTTATTTTGAAGATGTATACACATAATAGTACTCTTTGGAGATTTTGCATACTAACAATAGTATAAATAACTCTGAGCTTGTGGGTTATAGAAAATGATTATTATTTACGTTTTGTTATTCATAGCATCAAAAGGGGAATACAATATTTTAACTGTCTATATGGATGTAATTCCAGGTATAACTTGGTAAATGGGTCATGTGGGGATCCTCCATTTTCATAGTGACATGTCAATGTAACCTTATCTCTAATGACATTGATATGATCACGTAATGTTACAGCCTCGTTTTCCAACCACATTCCAAACCAATAAGAAAATCTCAAATATGATGCATTTTGTTATTTTCCAGGAGCCCATGAAAAAGAAATAGTTCTAATGAATGCTTTGACTATTAATTTACATCTTCTACTGGTAATGTATCATTTTCATCTGTGGTTTGAGTTCTCCCATTTGCATAATATGATATGTTTCAAAGAATCTTAAATTCATAAGGCTATTCTAACGGGCTATTTATTAACATGTGAGATTATTTACATTTTCACCAGGATATTCTAGACCATGATGTCATGGTTCCCTCTTAATCATAGAAGAGTTGCTTCTTACAAAGAACTTTAGAGTAATGAGTTCTTATCACAGAGCAGAAGGAAAATAGTAGTAGTACTTGAAAGTAAAAAAATTGATTCGTAAGAATGCTTACTGGTTGGTCAGTTCCCTATGCTGGAAAAAAAAGTTGATTGTTACTAACGTTATACTAAAATGCACCAAATATATTTCACTGTTAGCACCATGTGATCCATCATAGTTATCAAAACAAAAGTGCTACATGACAAAATACATGACAAAGGTTAAATACCTTTGTGGTTCATTCATACATAGGGACAAAAAAGACAAACTAAATGGCACACCCTGATGGAAACATACAAGAATATGTTTCCAAGCCATACATCCTTAGTTTTGACTCCCAACTAATTACTTAGTATCTGTTTAATGTTGATCAAAAATTTCAGTGTCTCTGAGAAATAGTATTTCCCTTTGTAATGAATGGGGTAACAGTGTCTTCCTCATAGATGTGCAGCACTCAATGAGGTAATATGTGAAAATTAATTTAACAACTTGGTCAATGATGACCTTCCTGTTGAAAGGTGTTGTCATCTGTATCAGAATCTGTACCAAGCTGTTGTTCAGGGACTTCATGGAGAAATGAAAGGGCCAGTGATCAGTAGTATACCCTGGCTGGTTCCTCTATGATGGACAGGACTTCTGTGAGATGATAGAGGCACATTTAGCTGTACCTAAACCAAAATACCATAAAGCAAACAATCATCAAAAGGGAAATTTAATAAAGGGAACCAAATTGGCAGTGTAAGATATGTAAATAAGACACACACAGAACAAGTTATTTCAGCCTCACTCCAGAGAAATTACCTTTAAATGCTTAAGAAGATAAATTTTCAATTAACATTTAGGTAAAGCCTTAGAATATGTTTTTATCTGCTTTACATTTTCCTCTGAGTTTGTTTTCCATTGATAAATGTAATGAGCCAGTATCTTCACCCTCTTCATAATTCATTGGAAACTAGGCTAATTGGAAAGATACCCCTGTCAGGTATCTTAGATGTTTAATTAATTAATGTCTTTAAAAATGTTGGCGCTTACAATATGAGAGTGTGGCATAAGGGAGCAAATGAGTAAATTGTGTGTTAATGCTTCTCGATAACTCTGTTTCATTGTAGTTATCATTCTTTAAGCCTACACCAAAGCGGCACAAGATTCTTCTAGAAGCCAAAGCCTTTCCTTCTGATCATGTAAGCATTTTTTTTTAAATTATATTTATGTTCTTTCTACTCTTCCTAACGGGACATATCATTTTTCTGACTTGAATGTTTATTCGCTAGTTATTTCCAAGTAAGCTGACTAAAAAAGATCTGTCAACTGCTTTTGATTTAAGTTTTTTTTCTAGATAGTAGATTTATTTCTTTTGTTCAAGTAAAACATGTGTTCAGGGAAAAAAGGACTGAATGGAGACATTGATTTATTAGTCCTTTTAAAGATGTTGAGCAAATTGTTCCCTAAATCAAGTGTGGTTATAAATGTTTTATTAATTCCTGTTGCTGTTTGATTTTATAAAATGAAATCGATAGGAATTCCACTGCTTAATCCTTAGCAATGTTAAATTGTCATATGAACTTGAATTTGCATCACTTTTGTCATAGTATGCTAGTAATATTTATTGATTCCTTTCTATGAAAAAACTATGAAAGATTTAAAATACTGATGCACAGAAATGGCTAAGTCTGCAAAGAGGTTGCTACACAGGCATAAGTATTGGGATATCTACGGCTCACAAAAAAAGCTGAGTGTGTCTGTGTGGGCCTATAGTCCCTAAACAGGAGACAAGAGAGACAAAAGAATATCTAAGGCTTGCTGGACAGCCTCTCTGACTTGTGAGTAAGTTTCAGTTTCAATGAGAGACCTTGTCCCCACCCCTCCAAAACAAGGAATAGAATGCCAAGAGAAGTCACCTTGATATTGACCAATGGCTTTTATACATACATGTGAACATATACAGCAAAATGTACATATAAATACAGCCCTACACAGAGGTTAAAGGATTTCTCGTGGCTCACTCAAATAATAATGATTCTTCTGGATCCATATACAGATGAAACTTTTTCATTTAGTTTTAAAGAAACTTCATTCCTATCTTTTTATTATACAATACCACATCTTGTAATTTTTAAAGCATGGGTTTTTTTTTGTTTGTTTTGTTTTTCAAAAAGAAAAGAAAGATTGAGACCTTGCTACCTTGAAGACAATTCCAGCTCTTCTTAGTTATGTTGTTGCCTGCATATCTTATTTTCTCCATGGAATTTTAAATGTGATCTGTCTTTGCTGACTCTTCCTGTGGTGAGCTGTTAGTGCATCCTAACTAAAGCCCAGCACTTCAAGCTCTCCTCCTTGGTTACATTACTAACCCCAGTTGTGATTTGCAGTAGGTGAGTTTTACTGTAGCAATCTCCTTATTTCCAAAAGCAACTGCACTTTTGATCACCATTAGTATGCAATATTTCAATAAGTGCCCTAATTCTTGCTCCATTACATTAAGAAGGTCCTTTCTGATGTAGCTATTCTTTTTACCTGTGATATGTGGTTTAATATAATGATATGATTTCATTGTTATTTTATTATTTATTTTCTTTTATTATTTATTTTCAGAGGAGCTATGTTAACAGATTGCTGTGCTTTGAACTTAATTTGATGAATATAATTTCTTTCTTTTTCAGTATGCTATTGAATCACAGATTCAACTTCATGGACTTGATGTTGAGAAAAGTATGCGGATGATAAAGCCAAGACAGGTATTTAAGAAAGAAATAAATGTTCATTGTACTTCTACTTACTGTCCATTGATTTTCCTCAGAAGTTTATTATCTTCATGGCTTTGATGTAACTTCCATGAAAGCACAAGAGATCAGTTCATTTTTTATTATTAAATCCTTTTGTTTAAAATGAAAAACAAATGGGAAATATATTTATTTTCATTTTCAAGGCCTAGATTCATGACAAGAAATGTTTCTTTTTATACCAATGGAGTCCATAGTAGTCTAGCAGGTGAGAAGTGATGACAAATAGGGTATTCCATTTTAAATTTCAAATACAGTAGCAATAGATCTCATTAAAATCAAATCAAAGACTAGAAATCATTGTGAAATCATAGAGACTCTTTCATGTTCTTTTGCAAAGTGTCAAATTCTTTTTACAGGTAAAATACAGTAAGTTTTCTAAAGCCAATAATTTGGAGAGTCTGGAATTCTAATATGTGTAGTAACCAACATGCAAATTTAATGGTATAAAAGACTTTCATATCTGTAAGAGGTTCCTGTTTTCACATATGCTATATAAATAAGGTTTCTAGTGTAAGTGAACATAGCCACCAGAAACCAAGTTTCAGGATGACATATGACCAGCAATTTGTCTTTTGCGTCTACTCTAACCAGTTGTTTGCATTACTGCACAGCTTCAAATCCACATGAATGGGAGTTTTTTTCACTAACACCTTTATCTCTTATTTGATTCAAGGAGGTCTTTAGACACATGAATTACATATTCTCTTTAGTATGTTTTTTTGTAAATTGTTGTCAAACTGTATTACAATTTTAAGAGTTTTAAGCCACTAGTTCCCTAAGTAGATTTTTATAATTACTAGGTTCATTCTTTATATGTATAAAAAGTGCATTTCTAATAAAATAGAGACTTCAAATTTTTTCCTATTTGGTAAACAAGCTTCAGAGTTCTTCTAATAGAAACTGTACACACACACATACACACACACACACACACACACACACACACACACACATACACACACACAGTCACACACACACACCATCCCTCCTCTTCCATACGAGTCTTCTAACTTGGAACTTGGCCAATAGCAAGATATTTGAACACTTATATGGAAGGATATTATAGGATCATCTTAATGAGCTTTTTACATGATATTGGGTCAATTAAGAATGCACTGACCCAAATTTATGTCATGTTTATTACAAGAGATTTGTGGAAATTTGGATGCATGTCAAACCTGCTCACCCCAAGCAGATTCTTCATGATTATCTGATTTCTTACAGCACAAGCTACTCTTTCAAGATTGAATCTCATTTCATTGACAATTTCAATCATTAGTTGTGGTGAAGAGGTTAGAGCAACTTTGTTCTTGGTACTTTATTTCGGTCTGTTTTCTTCGCAGTTCTCATTATCTTTACATTAGTTTGGAAAAGATTAAATTTTGAAATAATTGGAACGTCAATTTGGCAAAACTCAGTTAAAAGATGTGTAACTGAGTTTTCATTGGAAAAAGTACCACTAACTTGATAAGCGCAATATGAACCTCCAGCTTTGCTATATTTCATGGACTCCATGCTTTTTTATTGGAATAAAATCATTGGAAAACAATTTGTGGGTTTGTAAATAATAAAGATTAATTGAAAACTGAAGTACAAAAGAAAAAATGAGATTGTGCAGAATGACATTTAAAAGAAACCTCCTTAGTACTTTGTTTTTTATTTCTTTGTAATCAAATGTATCCCAGTGATATTCTTTTGCCAGATTTCTGAAGAGCATCCCTAAAGTAAAGCATAATTCCCTTCAATTGCCCCTTATGTAAGAAAGACATTTGTGGATATGAGTAACATGTTTATGACTGTCATACTCTGTAACTAGCACTAAATTTGACTTAGGGGGAAGAGACCTTACGGATGGAGGACATACTGAAAGTAATTGAGGAGGAAGGAGACTCGATTGCAGTGATCCTGTTCAGTGGCGTGCAGTTTTATACTGGACAGCTCTTCGACATGCCTGCCATTACAAAAGCTGGACAAGCAAAGGTAGATCACTCTTTGCTCCTTGTCGGTGCCCCAGGCAGCACTCTGCTCAAGAGTGGTCCACCTACATTATTTCATGTGTGCTTTAAATAGTTCTAGTTATCCTTTTTCTTTTAGAAATCAGAAGACTTAAATTTTAAGACATTATTACTATTATTGTTATGATTTCTATATTTCAAGCCATGTTTATGCAACATCAATGCTTCAACCTCATTCATAATAATGTTATCTTTATGTGAGCCCCTAGGGTCCAGAATGAACATATTTTGCACGTATGATGTGACTCTTCAGATTGCAAAATGGGGATGAAATATTAGGGTCTTCAAGATATGAAGGACTGTTAAAAGGCAAACTTCAGTAAATTGTCTTACTGTAACTCATTCTAAATATAAACCAGCTCTAAATGTGAGCTAGGTACTTCTAGAAAGGAAAATATGGACTCTATTAGCAGCAAATGCAGACTTATTCGTAGAATGAGTTATACTCAAGTGATTTCAAGGATGCCATTTTATTTCTAACAATCTTCTAGACTTATAATACTATCCATAGCAAAAGTGTTGAGTTCCCATATACTATTAATTCAAAATTAAACTCCTCTTATTTGTATATAATGTTTCTGTGTATAAGTAAGTGACTTAAGAATTTTTTTTCATTAATCTTGGGCTATAAGAAAGAAATCAAGGGGGAGAAAAATTCAATACTCAAAAGTTATATTTAAAATGCTAAGTAGCTGTTCTGTTTGATTATGTAATCAAGGCTTGCATTAAAAAGGTGACAATTGACTTTTATTCTGAACATTAATAAGTTATAGGACTACTATATATGTGAAATCCAGATAATATATGCAGTTATTGAAGCTAATGAATGGAACTAATGAAATGAAATTTAACACCATTTTTAGTGGTCTCTAGGAATTTCCAACCAGGGCTTCCAGCTGATTTGATGGATAACTGTGAGAGTGGTGCAATACAAAAGATATAAAGATAATGTCTTATTAATCTAGATATTAAATCTTAACCACCAAAATAAATGGAGGCCAATAAAGCTTGTGTTTTAAAATGTCCTGCAAGTAGTCAGCAACAATGTTCCCTTAGTGTGCAAGCATGTCTCATTAACCTCCATAGAAAGGAGATAAGATAGCAGAGAACCATGAGCTTGGCAATCACACAGTCAAGTTTTCAGACACTGGCTGGGTCATTACTACATTATATGGTCCTTAGCAAGTTACTTGACATCTCTGAGCTTCGGTTTCAAAAGTTTACAAGAACAGCATCTACCCCATATACTTAGAGTTAAGAATGTAGTGTCTGAAGCACGTCATGGTTGCCTCATGTTATACTGTTAAACAGTGCCCCCCCACCCTGACTTCTACTCTCTTCACTGAATATGAAATTGTAGGAAATGTCCCAGATATGGATTTTATTTCCTATTAAAATTAAAATGCGGGAGTTAGAGGGATGGCTCCCTGGCTAATAGCACTTGTTCCTATTTCAGAGGACCAAGGTTTCATTCTCAACGTCCACATGGCAGCTCAAACTATTTGTAACTCCTATTCCAGGAAACCAATGCCCTCTTTTAGCCTCTGAGGTACCAGGCACACCTGAAGTACATGTACATACATGCAGGCAAAATATTTGCATATTTAAAATATGAGTAAAATGAAAAAAATCTTTAAAAATAATATTTATTAGGTTATATTTAATACCTGCTAAGGGATTTAATTGATGAAACTAGTCTGTAAGTGTGCCACAGGCTGTCATTCATTTAACATGTCTATAGAGTCCAATTCTCATGGTGCATCCAGTCAAACAAATGAAGGGAAAAATGAGCATTTCCAGTCTACATGGTATGATGCCATGGGAATGAACTAGGGATATGGCTGACTTAGATTTACCCATTAACAAATTTATTTTAACAAATATTTACCCTCTTGCTGGAAAGTTGCTTTCTCTCTTAACTGAAGTTGAGAAATTAGGCTAATTTAAAATTAGACTTATGTAACTCCCCTGTGTGGTCTGTGAATATAAAGCTGAAGAAAGAGACAGGGAGAAAATTAAAGGTGTCACTCAAGAAAAAAATTGACAATTGTAAGGGGGAAGGTAACCTAAAATGATCACTGTTAAGACTGAATTAGTAAGGTAAAAGAGGAGAAACTTTCTTGAAATTGAGCATGATAGCAGCTAGAAATGACAGTGAATAGATCAATGAATATCAATGAGTTGGTTATGAAGTAAAACCTTCAAAGTCCTAAAACAAAAATTTCAAAGTTACTCACAAATTTGAAAGGTAGTTTAAAATGCATATATGACAATAATAACACAAATGATAGGTATCTGGATTTATTTTGTATCTTGAAATTAATTTAAAAGACAGTGTATAATTAAGCAACCATATTGCTGAGGTACTGTGGTTTTACATTCCTTGTTATGTTTAGAAGACTCTTACAGATTTACTGGTCCTCTAATGCTTATAGTCACTTACCCTTTCATACAGTGTTCTCTGACCCTTGAGTGTACAAGTTATGAAGGAAAGAAGAATATTAAGTTTGCAGTAGGTATCAAAGAAGAAAAAAATTCATAGAAGAAAAGTTGATACCAGAGCATTGTTTTGTATGTGAAAGTGCTTTTCATAGCAAGGGGAAGGTCTGAGATTTGGGTGGCAAGGTTGAAGAAAATGAAACAGAATAGATAAGAACTATAGGAAAGACCAAGAAGTGTCAGAAGACATCAGTTTAAATATCGATATTTATCTACTTTTGGAGCTACATGGTTGTTTCATATTGCTGAGCACCCATCTTTCTGAAACTCTGATTTCTATGTTTTTGATTTTTATTAGTCTTTTTACTTGTTCCTACTAACATTTATTTTCTATACCAACAATGTCTCACCACAGTCTCCAGTTATTTTGACAATGCCCCTTGACTGAACCATTGCTACCAATTGAAAGCCATGGTTTGCACCACAATGAAAAACCAATAGTCAATGTTAATCTGCCCACAACACTTTGACACCCAGTATTTTTTTCCAGGATCATGTGATTCACCATCTTGTCAGACTTAGGGCTCAGCTCTAGTTTCCTGGCTGACTCATTTTCTTCTTTCTCCCTTCCTTTTGCTTCTTTTTTCTTTTCTTTTCTTTCTTTTTTTTTTTTTTTCCTCATGCTTAAGTTGAAGCCTAGGGACTTGTACCTCTTCCTCCTGAATGCTAAAATTACAGTCATGTGGTACCATGACTCCTGATCTTACCACTTTTTTCCAAAGAGGAATTTCAAAATAATTTATTTACTATTTAATTATTTTAAAGTGAGAAAGAAAATTGCCTGCATCCAGTATTTTCTGGGTCCAGGTGAATGGTTTGCTGTATGCCATTTTACCTTTGGAAGACAACTTGAAATTTCATGAAAATTCATGCATAGTACTTTTAGAGTTTTGAAATTACATTAGTCATTTCCATCTTTATTTTATTTTTTTTTATTCTTCCCTTGTGTTACATGCTGACTGCATCTTTCCCTCCCTCCCCACCCCAGCCTCTCCCCCCATCTCCGCTATCCTCCAGCTCCAACCCTCCACTTCCTCTCCCCTCAGAAAAGACCTCCCAGTAACACCAACCAAACATGGAATGACATGTTACAATAGGGCCAGGCACAGGCTATCATATCCAGGCTGGATCAGGCAACCCAATAGGAAGAAAACAGTCCCATAAGCAAGCAAGAGTCAGAAACTGCCTCTGCTCCCACTGTCAGAATTTTTAACTAAACACTTTAAAATTCTACTTTATCACTGTCTGACATTTTCTTAAGTTTTCCTCAGTCAAATATTAAGAATTACAGGCATAATGAAAAGACTATCAATGAAAATCAAACCAAACAGAGAACTCTCTTTTGCTAACCATAGAACAATAGTGGCCCGAGACTGCTGAGCTGTATTGGAGAAACACAGTTAAGTCTGAGTGACAGATTTGGAGTCCTCTGCCTTTCCACATCACAGTCATAACATGGTTTTTCCAGACCCATTTCATTTTAAGGCCTCAAGAAGGAAGAATGGAAGAGAGGGCAGGTTCATCTGTCTCATGTGTCCCTTTTATGTGAAGTGCTAAATCTTTCCCAGAAAAGTCCGGCAGATTCCTGCTCATGACTCAGTGCCTCTTAACTGACAGCCAAAAGGGGCATAGGCACAAAAATAGTTTGCTTTTGTAGTCCTATAGTAAGAAGAAAGTGCTGGAGAGTGGGTTTGGGATTGCCAACCCATAGTATTTCCTAATTACATCAGCAGATGATCCAATGCTTTCTAACTTGTTGCCTTTGTTTTTGAGCCATAATTCCAATTCGTTTTTCCCTTTCTACCCCTTTACCTCCCTCCCTTCTCACATTTCACAAGCATTGAAAACAGTTCATAAGAAACTAATAAGGAAGAATTGCATGCTCTCTCTAGCAATAACTTAGAAATGATAAGACATAGGTAACTGAGTCTGACAGTGAATGCTTGTAATTCCATCATTGTGGAGACTGAGGTAGGAGAACAGAAAGTCCCGGGTTAGTGTGAGTGGCTGTGGAGCCAGCTTTATCAAAACCAGACAGACAAACCATCAAAACAATGAAATGAACAAAACTGAAGAGTTAAAAGTTCCTTGGGAATTATTTTCTTTCCATATACTAGTGCTTTAATAAAGCCAGAATCATAGACCTCTTCACCATACCCAGTGTTTATTTCTTGCTTATGCCACCCAGAGGTCAACCTTCTGTCCAGGCAGAGATTAAGGTCCCATGATTCAAGATTGGAACCTTTGGCATTCATACCCTAAAGCTTTGGTATGACCAACCAAATGAATAGAATAAAGGGTGTGAACAGTACAATAATTTCTCAAATGCCTTGCCTTTAAGTGGCAAGATTACTTCCTCATGTAATCCACTAATTAACAGTCTGTGCATTCTCTGGGAAATGAAGTTTAGCTGTGTCTGCAAAGGGTTGTTTGCTTTGGTACCCTGGACTCAGGCCTCTCACATAC